AACCAACCCAAAAATCATAATATGACAATCAAAAGCTTTTACTTAAAAACTTAAACAAGGTGTATCAATAATAACAAAAAATAATAAAATGGTGTCATGGCAGATATGAAACAGGTTGTTGCGCTACAAGAAAACAAAATAAGAAATAAAGTGTAACAAAGGAAAAAAAAACGCATGCTCTGAACGTTAATAAGCATTAAAAAATAGGATCTGAAGAAAATAACTAGACATGGAATGTACTCTAAAAGAAATGAACGAAACAAAGAGATATTCCTGATGAAAAATGCAAAAACTATGTGTTGTCTTTTTGTTAGTAGAATAATTCAACTTTTTTTTTTTGTGTGTAAAATTAGTAAGACAGTTGATTGTTTAATGGGAGCCGATCACCGTGCTATAAAGAAAAAATAGAAAATAAAATTAATTCATAATTAAATAGAATCTCTTCGACGTCCAAGAAGTAGAAAGCTTGGATTTTCAATTAAAATATCTCGAGCATAATCAATATGTTTTTTGCTCACCCTATCATCAGTTACTATAGTAAACTCATCTAAACTTGGGTCTATTATTAAACGTCGTTCATTTTGACTTTGTTCGTCTCTTGATGCTTTTTGAATAAAACGATTATGACAACGTTTAACAAAAAATGCCAATATCTTTTCAAAGAAAAAAGAGAGTAAATTAATTTTCTTATCAAAAAAATTTGACTTACAGTTACTAAAATACCAAGAGTAATAATACCGATAAGTATAGCATTTGATGGTCTGTATCGATGTGTTTTCTGTTGACTTTCCACCGGAGAAATAGAGTTATCGCCTACTGATAATTTCAATGCATCTTGTGACATTGAATTATCGATATCTGTTGTTGCTTGCTTTGATAGAAAGCTTCCATCAATTGATAAACAAGTCATATTGATTGAATTTATTTGTAAACAAAGTTGATAGTTTTTACAACGTGCTGTTGAATATTTCATACAGAGATCGGACCCCTCAGTTTGTTGATTATCGATAAAAACAAATGAACGAATTTGATCATGTGTCGATGTGATAGACTCTCCCGAAAAACGATTTTTTCCATAAATTCGAATAAAATCTAACGATTTTTTTGATGATGGAATATAAAGCAAACCATCCTAAATTATCAATGTATATACAAAAAGATTATATTAAAATTAAACAAATAATTACATACATTAAAAAATGCAAATAACGATGCAGATGGTATACGTATTGATGTATCATGACACTGTTTAAATTCACCATTACAAGTAAAAACAGGAGATAGTCCATTACTGTCGATATTATCTGCTGTCCAAAATATTCGTTGAAATGCAGCATCTAAGATATATCAAAACATTCGTATGAGCAAAATATCTTAATTTATATATATTCATACCGTAGATAAATCTTTTGATTTCTCGATCTGTCTTATGTACTATTTTTATTACATTTGGTTCGGACATATTTGATATCATGAATTGAGAATTTGAAGCAAATATAAGTTGTCTGTTATAAACATCAATTTCCATTGAATGAATTGAATTAGCGTTATTATCATTCAATGACCAAGAATGCATTGGGATATTAATTGATACATCACAAACAATTGATGTATACATCCGTAATGTTTTAGATTGATTCTCAATAATAAAGAGAATTTTTTCATTTGCATTATATGCAAAAGCATTAACTGTGAGATTCGTAAGTAATACTATAGTTTTTAAATCACGATTTGATTCACTAAAATTCAAAATAATTTTACTAATTTTTATAGGGAAAAAAACAAAGAAAGAAATTAACCATAAAATAGCATGTTGTATTTGATCATAATAGATAACGAACATTTGTTTATGATCATATTGTATATAATCAAAATGATGACTTTTATCAATGTTTATTGTATTTAATTGTTGTGATGAATACTGTTCAGTAGAAGCCAACATATTATAGAAAGTAATGGTTCTATCAGATAAAATTAATAAATTTGGTTTTGATTGATCTATTTAAAGATTTTGCTAATTATTATTTTTCGGAAATATAAGAAAATAACGAACCATTGCTTCTCTGACATGTTTTTGTTACTTTATCAAGGGTAAAATTTGATGGACATGTGCAATTAAAACTACCGTCTGTATTAGTACATTTAAATGAACAATATGTACCAAGAGAATCATTACATTCATCATAATCTGATTTATTAAACAATTATTTATCATATGGAAGTAAAAGAGAAGGTCAGAAACTAACCTTGACATATTGGTATGTTATTGTGCGGTGTTTTAGTTGTTAGTCGATAACCTTGTTTAACACATCGACAAAGTTGTCCAACTGCTGGATGTTGAATGCAACTAACATCAGAATTTGTAGGACAATTCGATTTTATAGTACATTTATCACGACAATTATGCTCATCATCGCCTCCAGGACAATCGTTACTAGAAAATAAATAAATTAATGACTTTCTATCTTCTTCAAATCGTTTATTAAATTACTATCCATCACAAACACGATCATTTGATAGACATATTGGGTGATTAAATGTTCCTGATGTTGAACAAGTAAATTCTGGACATGAATCATCTACTTGCGCTATAGATGCAACTAATATTAAAAATAAAATATATTTAAATCCAGGAAACAATATGAAAATATCTGTACTTGTTGACGTTGTATGTGTACAATTTTTCTCATCAAATCCATCTAAACAATGTGCAATTCCATCACACATCTTTCGAAAAGAAAAAACAAAAAGTTTTAATCATCAAACAATGTTATATGTAAATAATTGTTTTAAACCTTGACTTCATCAATACATTGACCGGTTGGACAATGTATTTTATTTGGTCCACATACAGAATGATGACAACCAACACCTTCCTCTTCATCACTCCCATCTGGACAATCTTTCTGCCCATCACAAACAAGAAAGTTTTCGATACATGAACCTTTTTTACATAACCAATGATTAACTTGACAGATTGTTTTATCTTAAGTAAAAATTCATTTGATTTATATTTATCGAAATAAGTTAATTCAACAAACTGCATCCGCCTTCGTCTTCATTAAGGAAACAATCTTGATGACCATTGCATATATCATGAGGAGATAAACGATCGTACGAAACCTGAGGGTCTATATGAGTTACACATGCTATTGAATCAGTTGAATTTTTTGGCAAATGATGGCCTAGAGAAAAATACTTAATGAATAAAAAGACATCTTTTTATATACAAAAGTAATACAGACATATTTCATCACCATCATTATTAACACAATCATGATAATCAATACAAACTTCTTTAATTTCTATACAATGCGTTTTATTTCGGCAAGGTACTAAATTATTTGGACATCCTAAATATCCATATGAAACTGAAAAACAAATCACAATAAAAATACAATTAAAAAAACAAAAAAATTATTTTTGTCAGACCTTTTAAAAATATTAAATATGTTACAGTTAGATAAACAGTCGATTTGATAATCATTTCTTGTAAGACTAATACCGAAAATGCCATTAAATACTCTCATTTGTTTTTTGCTCGATTATCATATATTCTTATTCATGTTGAAAAAATAATTTTTCGTTTGCTTTTCTTCTAAAAACACAGACGTGAAAAAATTTGACTTTTAGTATGTACTTTTTTCTTTCTTTTTATTTTTTTTGCCAGATGTCCTAATGTGACTCATAATGTCAGAAGTTGTCATATCTTAATGCATTTTCTTTCAGGTAATTACTAATTAATCATTCTCAAAACTATACTTTCTAAAATGAGACAACGCCAAATTTCCTCACATCGTTACCTCTCTCTGATGAAACTAAATGTGTCTGGAGATTGCTTTCATGTTTATTTTATTATGTACATAGTTGCACTGATGAAAATGACGTAGAAGAAAAACAAAATGTAACGTACTTACCATACCTCATACTGTGAAGAAAGGACAAGGTTAACTATCATGATTAATAAGTATTATTATGAATTTATCTATATAATAATCTTCTTTATGTTGTTTAAAATCTGATTAGCGTATACTATGAAAATAAGCGTAAAGAAAAAACATTATTTAATGTTCTTTTGCCTCGGTGATTATTATCAATATTCATTTCTATTATGTAAGGCTATTCACCTTTGAAAGAACCTTGTTGACGCAAAGTATATTGATTATTGATTCAAGAGACTCATCCAGTATGCATGATTTCATTGATAGAAGGATTTTTTTGGTCTAGATTACTGATCAATATCTGAAAAAGATAAATATCGATCTGAAATTAATATGAACTTAAACATTCATACACAAACACAAGAATTTTATTTGCAAAAACAATTCATGATTTTTCTGTTTTGTTCACTTCTATGAGTGTAGTTTTTATATCGAGAATTTTGTCTACAACATCACATTCAATTATTTCAAGAACAACAGGTTGTCCTAGTTTGAATACAAAATTATGATAAATAGGTGGTATTGTATCACGATGAAATGATGCATTGAAACGACTGTGTATTAAACAAGCTAAAATACATAATAAATAATAAGAAAAACAAGATTGATTCTTTTTTAATTGAGTCTTTACCGATATGTTTCTTTCCAAGTTTTGATATAATAGCATGAACACGTCTACCTTTTTCAGGTACAAATAAAATAAAATTGAGTTTAATAGGTACCCATAATGTTGGTTCATCTTGATATGTTTGACCTACGTCCGATAATAAATGAATTTTACCAATTGCAAGTAAAAAACCATTCAATCTAATCGAGAAAACAAAATTATAAAGATTTGAAATTTTAATCATTTACAAAAATTACTTTTTTGCAAGTTCATTTGAACTTTCTTCCAGTATTCTTTTAATACCTGATTTACTTTTTCCTATTTGATTCGGTGGTAATGGTACAAGAATTGTTTGACGTTTATATTCTAAACATGAATCTTTATCCTTAACAAGTGGAAGAACATCACTTAGTTTAAATAAATTCATTTTTTGTAAAATCTATAAAAGAAAAAAATTCCAATCGAATATTTTTTTTTATTAACAATAGATTAAAGAACAAAGAAAAAATGAATGAATTATATCTAACATATATAAGAAGTCATTTATTTGTTAATGAGTAGTTACACGTTGAAAACCAATTAATTTATCTGGATCTTGATAAAGCCATGCATCAGCTGTTAATGTTTGAATATTTTCTCTTATTTTTTGTAAATGTTGAGAATGTAATTCTTTTTCTGTTTCGGAATGATAAAATTGTGTTGCATTTTCTAATTCAATAGTATTTAATATCATTGCATTATTATTTGTTGTCGTCGATGTTGTTAATGTTGGTTCAGCTGATGGAACATGTGGCGATTGAAATAATGCTTTTCGACTAGCATCCATCTGAAAAAAACGAAAGGTATTAATCAATGTATAGAAGTCAGACGATCTAATGTCTAGAATTGAGTATAATATGAAACAAACGATATGTATCTTCTAGTTTTCTATTTCATAGTAAATAATATCGAACACTTACATTGTATTATATATCTTTCTTTTAATTGATGATAAAATTTATCTATAGCATATTATATATGTCTGTTGGAGTTCTTATTTTACAAAATCAATCTAGAATCTTTCATTATTTCTTTAAGATTTTACTTTAAATCAATAAAATGTTTATATCGGAAATCTCAAGAGAAGAAAAAAAAAACCACTGGCCTTACACTAATAGATTCTGTGTTCTAAGAATAAAACGAACGAACAATAAAAACAAAATGAATAACAAAAGAGAAAAAGTCAAGTTCAGGTTGTTCAAGCAAGGATTTTCGATCGTTCGCGATATGCAGCCCACCAAACGAGTCCAAAACCAATTACAGCAATAAATTCACTTGGTAACCATGGACCAAAACTTGCACCCTATGAACAAGGAAACAAAAAAATACAACTACAACAAAAAAAATTCTTTTAATACCGGATGATAGAAGTCAACTTCACCAAATGGTTTAACTGCTTTAGCAGCATCATCAGTTCGTGTCTATAAACAAGTTTTACATATAATTCATTTTTTTT